GTTGGATTTTGGAAGTTGGAAACTTGGAACCCTTCCTCCTGCTTTTTCTTTTCTTTTCTTTCCTAAACACTCACTAGCAATTTCACTTTCCTTTCCACACAGGTTTATATTGACTGTGGAGGTTTATTGACGTCATAGTATGGCCAGTCATGACGTCATTCTATTTCCATGTCATATCTCTAGTTCCTAATTGCATTAGTGTCTTCTCTTCTTGTACGTGGAAAATAACTATGACGGAAACAAAATTTTTATGACGTTCTAGACTAATACATTTCAACTAATTTAAACACCTTGTGCGATGAACTCAAGTACTGTATTTAAGTTATTAGTCTAGGACGTCACTGTAACGGCCCAAATTTGGATCCCTCTTCCCACCGGAAACCGACTGGCTATAATCCAAATTTCTCTCTGCTTCATACTAAATTAGAATATTGTTTGGTTTAATAAAATAAAATCATAATTGCAGAATGGACTTTTTTCTTTGCTAACGTTTGCATCATGGACTTTATTTAATAAAAAAAAATTGGGCTGCAGTGTGCAGTTGTTCGCAGGCCCATACTATCTGGTCCTGCACTTATAGCCCATAGCCCATGCAAAACATCCGAAAGCCTTATTCGGCCCAAACAGTTTGATTTGTCTCCCAGCTTAAACCCTAAACCCTAATGGAGAGACTAGTTGTAGGTGCCTAATATTTGCTGGAATAACATGATTGGTTAGTGGAGAGTGGATTGTAGTGGCGAAACCGTCTGATAATTCCCATTTAAAAAATTAAATTAATTAAAGGTTCGGCAAATGTTGAAGTCAAGAAACTCATTACTCAACGTAAAGTCCGAACCACAAGCTCAACAAAACAAAAACAAACAAAAAAAAAGGAAGAAAAATTAAAATAAAATTGAAGAAAAATTAAAACGGCAAGTCGCTTTTACTTACAGTTGTGAGGTGAATGGACCAATAGCCCCGCCAACTGACGGTAACCGTCCTACCAACTACCTCCATTCCGCCAGTTACCCATCCATCAAAAAAGCCCATGTTACAAGCACAGCTGTCACCCACGATGCTCCCTACCGCATGGAAGCAGTCACCAAAAACGACGCCGTAGCACCCAAAAACTACAAAATGGGCGCCCACACGGCCGGATCATTTATACGCCGGTAAAAGTCCACACAAAGGTCTTTCTTTTCTTTCCAAAGTTCATAGTAACTCTTAGTTTCCCCAAAAAAAAAGTCTATACAGTTTGCAGCAAGCCGAAAATTTCCGCGAAAGTTCTCACATTTTTCTGGAAAAAATTTGAAGTCTTCTTGTATTAAGGTAATAGACGCGGACCAAGTTGCTGACACATCTTTTTCTTTTTTTTGCTTTCCTGTTTGTGAGTTTCTATACCCTCCTCTGTTCTGTTGTGTTTGTTCACTTGGGGTTTGTTTTCTGCGTCTGAAAGTTCGAAAATTGACAACTTTCCCTGTAGATTTTCTGGGTTCTGTTGGTTATGGCGTGGAGGAATCTGGGATCTCTTTTTAACTTCCGGGGTATCCTTCAGGTTGGTAGATTAATTTTGCTTTTCTTGCTTTTTGAATTTGTTATTGCTTTATTAAGTGTTATTTATTATCATACATGATTGAGATTAAACTGTTACCAAGTTTTTATCTTTTGGAAGATTAATTTGTGTTAGCTTCAAACTGTGACGCATAAAGCAGTAAGCTTTTGGATTCTTTTTGTTCGTTTGTTGAAGATTTGGAGACATCTTTTACTTCAAAGCTCAAACCAAATCAAGCCAAATCGAATTTTATCTCTTTCCTAATGTGTTTCTGTTGGGAAGTGATTTAGTGTATTTGTGCGAGCAGGGAAGAACCCCGGAGATCGAACTGGGAAGAAGGTACACGATTAAATCCCATGGAGCTGCACTTGCAAAGAACCACATGTACGATTGGCTTATACTGCTGCTCCTTGCAGTGACAGAGCTCATTTTGTACATCATTTATCCGTTCTACCGTTTCGTGGGGAAGGATATGATGGAAGACCTTAGATATCCCATGAAAGCGAACACGGTGCCTGTGTGGGCTGTCCCTGTACGTTTTTCGCTGCTTCTTTTAGTCTAATTCCATTTTGATCAATGTGCATTTGGTTGTTGGATTGTATGGATTTGATGTAAGCAGTACTAAAGTTAACGGGATGTCTTCAGATGTACTCGGTTTTGTTGCCTGTTGTGATTTTCCTCTTTTTCTATATGCGTCGGAAAGATGTCCATGATCTGCACCATAGCATTCTAGGTAATGCATTTCTTTTCCTGTTTGCTTAGTTTTTATCAAACTCGGAACCTTTTGTTTGTTTATTGTTCTGTGCATTAATTTGGTTATATATCTATCTGCAAGAGCAGGCCTCTTGTTCGCCGTGCTGATTACTGGTGTTATCACGGATGCAATAAAAAATGCTGTTGGCCGGCCTCGACCAGACTTCTTTTGGCGTTGCTTTCCCGATGGAAAAGATGTATGTTTTAATTGGCTCCATATCCTTATCTATCTTTTAATGTCCTGGTGGAAAATTTGTTGTAATGTGATATGGAATCTGCTCCGTATCGAGTAAAATTTGATGCTTAAATATCTCTTCGCTTTGTGTAGGTTTATGATCAGCTTGGGGGTGTAGTGTGCCATGGTAAGGACAGTGACATAAAGGAAGGACATAAGAGTTTTCCAAGTGGTCACTCTTCATGTAAGAAATGCTTCCTGCTGTTACGCTGTTTAAGTCTACTAGATCCGTTGAGTTTTCAAATTTCATCATGCATGTCCAATCCATACAACTGATACATCTTGGCATTGCTCTGCAGGGTCCTTTGCAGGTTTAGGATTTCTCTCGTTGTACTTGTGCGGGAAGATTAAAGCATTTGATCGCAAAGGGCACGTTGCAAAGCTATGTATTGTCTTGCTTCCTCTGCTTGCTGCGTCTCTCGTTGCCATTTCAAGAGTAGATGACTATTGGCACCATTGGCAAGATGTGTTTGCTGGAGGTCTCTTAGGTCTGATCTTCACGATCTCTTTTCTTTAGTTAACGCTCTAATGTAAGGATGTGAGAGCTTTATACGCGGTTCATATTCTGCAGGACTTGTTGTGGCTTCATTTTGTTACCGGCAATTCTTCCCTTCCCCTTATCATGATCAAGGTCACATCTTCTATCTGTTCCTCATTTTTCCTGTATACTTCCACAAAATACCGTCGCCACAGTTTGTTAGTTGTTTCTGTTTCTCAGTTTCCTTACTATTTCTTTGACGTATTCAGGATGGGGTCCTTATGCGTATTTCTCCGCTTTGGAGGAGACGCGTATCCTTTCACATCTGGGTGTTAATCCTACGAACAATGCACCGAGTGTGCAGGTGACGGGGGCTCGGAATGTGGACGAACAACACATACAGAATAGCGATGCATTTACAGCATTCTCTGGAAACCGATACACAAGCATTAGGCTGCATGAAATGGAATCAGGCGGAAGGTAGTAATGTACATGCCGCGCTTCGTCTAGGTACTCCGCATATTGCCTGTGCTCGTGTAGATACCGGTTTAAGACACCTTGCGTAGACAGGTTAATTAGTTTTTAGTACCATATACAGATAGTCTAGTTTGCTAATGATGAATTTATGAAAGTTTAGTTGGCCTAACATTGCTTCCGTTGATCAAACTCTTAATTTTTTTTTCTGATCCAGTTGTTACTAAAAATAAAGATTTATTTTCCATCACGTAAGTAAAAATATGAAAAATAGAGTATAATACGGTATCTACGGAAGACGTGACAGAACGGAGGGCAATTGTGTTCTAGGATTCATATAGCTGACCCTACTTTGTGGGAAAAAACTCTGTTGTTGTTATTAAAGGATAATACGATATCTGGGAAGTAATCCGTAGATTCTACGAAATCGTGTACCTGACAGATTGAGGTAGATTTACTGGGATTTGGATCCTCTCCTGAGCAGAGGGTCTGAATCCTACTGACCAAGCAACACGGACTGTTGGATCAAAATTTAAAAGCTACAATTATTATAACTTTTAAAGGGTTTCATGTTTGTAACCGTTGAATTTTGATCTAACCGTGTTGTTTGGTCAGCAGGATTCGAACAGTCTGCTCAGGAGAGGATACAAATCGGATTTACTGGGACAGGTTTACCTCAAGGTCCAAGGATGAATCTGTGTACTGGGACAGGTATATCCTGTGGGACCTTGACTCCATGCTGGTCGGCACGCGCTGATTGGATTAAATTATTGTAAACATTTGAGTTGCTTTCTGAGCCGTTGAACCACTGGCCAATAACGTCTCCAATTTTGAATAATTAATCTTGCTTAACTAGGTTGTCTTCTAATATAATTAACTTAATCTTGATTATCTTAAACTCCTCCACAAATGGTGTGTTGCCACCTACTCTCTTTCCTTCAACGGTTAATTTTTTTGAAAAGATATAAAAGTAGAAAAACGCATGCACGTTGAACAAGAAAAGAATACAGAGAATCACAGTTTTGTGGTTATAATTTGTACTACACACGGAAATTGGAATGGAACAACAATTAAGCCCCGAAAACAGCATCTCTTAAAAAAAGACGTTTCCTTTTGGAATTTTGTATCCAATATGCCTGCAACTAACCTCCGAGCGCCGTGAGATTTGAACGCATGATATTAAGTTAATACTAAGCATTTTTAATTATTTGAGCTGTAAATTTTATAAAATTTAAAAAGACTTTGAGTTGAAAATTGATGTTTTAAATTGCTCGAGTTACAAAAGCTTCGCCAAGTTCAAGCCTGGATGGTTTCTTCTGCACTGCAAGTTATGGAGCTGAATTGACGCCTAAGCATATTGTTAATCATTTCGTTCGGATAAATCATACAACTAAATCACAATTAATTGTGATTATTTTTGATCAAATTATGCTCTAAGTTTTGGGTCGCTGTGCCCACCGAACACTGCAAGCAATCAGCACTCAGCAACGCGCCGCGATTTCACACTTTTTGTAAATATCTAAAAATAGGATAATTAATTTAATCCAAAATCCCCCAACTCAAATTCAAATTCCAAATTCCAAAATTTTAATTATTCTTCTTCTTCTTTGTTCGTCAGATCCACCTACTTCTGTGCAGAGAAGGATTCGGTGATCCACTCTCCCCGTAACAAAATTGGAAACTCCGTTGTTTTTCTTTCACTTGACGCGCTTTTCCGTTTCAAGTTTTCTGCATCCCGTTCTTCTTCCCCAAAAATTACTCCCCCTGCTGCTCCCTCCACCGCCGTAAAATCCCCACCCTCACCATTACGCGCTCGGAGACTCGCTTCCGTCGTACGGAAATTGCATGTATGTACCTCTCTATCTTTCTCTGTTAGTTTTTGTAACTTTTTTTTTTGCACATTGTAACGTTCTTGTTTCAAATTGTTCATTTAATTTTTAATGTTTACTGAGTCTGTGTAGCTTATTGTGGTTTGTTTCTTCAAGTTTTCTGTTTGGTTGCCTAGAAAATGAAGGAAAATTAAAGAAACTAGATTTCCATGTAGTCGCTTTTGTTTCCCCGAAGAAAGATAAAGTGGAAATACTCGATCGATATCATTCAAGCGGAAATGTTGAATTTAATCTTATTGTTTCAACTTTTTCTTTCCCTTAATTTGAATTGTCAGTGAGATTAAGATATGAATGTTTTTCTTTTTGTTTTTCATTTCCAGTTAGTGAAAAATGCCAGAAGTTCAATTGGGTTGCCACACTGTAAGGTCCCATGGAGTTAAGGTGGTAAGGATTCATATGCATGATTGGCTGATTCTGTTGGTTCTCGCCGGGATTGATCTCGGTTTGAACTTGATAGAACCGTTTCACCGCTTTGTTGGGGAGGACATGATGACAGACCTGAAGTACCCCTTGAAAGACAATACAGTTCCCTTCTGGGCTGTTCCGGTACGTTTTTGTTTTGCGAAAACAATGTCATGCTGGTAAAATTTTGATAATTTAACTTTTGCATCGGTCTCGTCTCGCTTTTGTGATGACACCGTAAGGAAAAGAAGAATCTTATGTTATACTTCTGGCACAGATAATTGCGGTATTGTTGCCGCTTGCTGTCATTCTTGTGTACTACTTCATCCGAAAGGATGTCTATGATCTGCACCATGCCATTTTGGGTAGCTATCCTCTCTTTCTTTTTCCTTTTTGTGACTTTTGCATTGGTGAATGTTGTTTGCATGTTGTTGTACTTTGTTAACCCTTACATTTTATATCCATGCTCATTCAGGCCTTCTATTCTCTGTCTTCATAACCGCTGTTTTAACTGATGCGATCAAAGATGGTGTTGGTCGACCTCGTCCAGACTTCTTTTGGCGTTGTTTCCCTGATGGAAAAGGGGTGGGCCTTCTAGTGCATAAAATTATTTATACCTTTTTGATTTTTCGTGAAATGAACTTTTCATTGTTTAGTTCTTGATCCTCCTCACTTGTACACATATATGACATACGATTGATCCATGTCCACGTCCAGGGATTTGATCCGACCACAAAGGATGTCATATGTACTGGAATCAAGAGTGTCATTAAGGAAGGACATAAAAGCTTCCCAAGCGGGCATACTTCATGTAAGCATTTTGATACCTCGGGAAACCCTACATGAGAGAGGATTAAAGATTAGGGATGTTCTGGGATGTGTTTAATGTCTCTTAAGGGCTTCATGCTGCCTGTATATTTTCTTTAGTGCATATGTATGTTTGACTTTGTACCGTACGTGTAGCTTAAAGGACAGTGCGGTTGTCAACATGCAGGGTCCTTTGCAGGTCTTGGTTTCCTTGCATGGTACTTATCGGGAAAAGTTAGGGTGTTTGATCGTAGGGGACATGTTGCAAAGCTCTGTATTGTCATTTTACCACTACTTACTGCAGCGCTGGTGGCAGTTTCTCGAGTTGATGACTATTGGCATCATTGGCAAGATGTTTTTGCTGGCGGGCTTATAGGTACCTTGTCTGCCTCTAGCATCATTGGCATGATTTTTTGAGAAAAAAGTTGTTCGTCGAGTTTCCATTTTTCTAATATGTATATTTATTTTGTTCAGGAATCACCATTGCTTCATTTTGTTACCTGCAATTCTTTCCACCTCCATACGACACAGATGGTAATTTTACCCACCGTATAGCTTTGCTGTTCTTTTTTATAACTATCGTCTTCGTAGAGGTTTACTAATTCCGTTGAGTCCATGAGCATTTTTTCTTGCATTGAAAAACTAAGCTTTCTACGGTTCATTAAACCGTGTAAGTAGCTTATTTGAACTTGTGTGCATTTTAGTAGTCTGGAATCATTGTTGACAAGATTCTTTCTGTTTATGTTGTTGGATGGGTAGGTTGGGGACCTCACGCATACTTCCAGATGCTGGCGGAGTCTCAAAATCGTGAGGAGTCCTCGACTAACAACGCCAACAATCTTAGTGTGCAGCCAACAGAGCTTACGAGTGTATACGTCGAACCTCAGAACGGTGATGAATTGTCAAGAGGCAATAGCGGAGACAGAAACGCCATGCTAAATGGAAGGGAAAACGGGAGAAGACACCAGAGTGTCGGGTGTTTGTAGATAAGAATAGAGTTAATGAGCAGATGTTCATATCATAGGATCCATCTTGCCATGTGAATTTCGTAGACGGATATCGGAATTTATAAACCAGATGAAATATGAACCTTCCTTTTTGCTTAAGTTTGTTTAATTGATTTGTTTAATTGAGATTGATATAACTCTTTCTCTGGTCCTTGAAATTTAAAATTGAAAGAAGTGTTCGTCAATTATTTTGACCATTTCGTAAAAATATCTATTAGATAAAAATGAAATAGACAAAAATAACTTCAACTTTTGTGAAATTATTTTGGTCATTGTTTATTAAATTTAGTTTTTTTATTTTTTATTTTTATTTAACAGAGAATTTTTTATAAAATGATCAAAATAATTGATAATGAGCCTAAAATAAAAGATAATTGTGATGTGACATGTTGGATGTGGTTTGTTTGAAATATATGGGTGATTCAAGAAGCAAAGCCCAGGTATTGTCATCGTCGACACTCCCCGCCCACCAGACGCTATTCACATTCACATTCACACTTCACATCACAAACTGTGCTTTGCTCTCCTTCTAGCTTCTACCGCTGGACCCGTGCCAAACACGCAGGTGTGCGTGTCCTGAAGCATGGTGTGGGCCATTCCTGATTTTTTTTTTTTAAGAAAACTAATAAAAATGATTTAAAATTTTTGAGTTTTAACTATGAATACAAAATAAAAGATAAAGTGAATAGTACCAGAATTGACTTTTTAGTATAAAAATATGATTTTTCGTTAAAGTAAACAATATCTGAAGTTTTTCGTTAAAGTTTTTTTTTTTCGTCGATGGGCCCCAATCTTCTAATGGGAGACCGGATTAAGGAATAATCTTTCACACTTTAGTGTTGTTTGGAAGTACTTTTCAAATGATTGAAAGTATTTTTAGAAAATATATTTTTGGATTACAAAAGTACTTGAAGTGTTTTTTTACAAGAAGCACTAGTTATATGCTTTATGCAAGAAACACCAGTTATGTGCTTCTTACAAATGACACTTTTAATATTTTTTTTAAGATTTACTTGTATTTTTTTAAAAATTAATTTCAAAAACACTTTTACTAAAAGCATGTTTATCTAATTTAAAAGTACTTCTAAATAAGCTAGTTAATTTCCAATAATCGCCTTTCCTTGGTATGTACGGAAGAGTCCTATTCAAGTCATGGTCTGGAGCATTATTTGAGATTAGACCATGGATTGGATTATCGTGGATTGGACTTTTTAATCCAGTCCAAGGTGCCAAGCATGAGAATACTACCATTTAATATAAATGATACCACGCATTGGATTTATTACTCAATTTAGTAACTAGAAGCATACTTAATCAAACCTAATTAATTATTAATTCAATTGCATCAAAGATTAGCGTTTGCCTGGTCGCGGTCACACTGTCACAGACAGACAATATTGACCAATCACACGCTGTGCACTAAGACCAAGCTCTCATGTTTTGACTTGGCACCCAATTCTTCTCCTCCTCTCCTCTCCATATAAACCCCTCTTTGCTTCCTCTCTCTAACACAACTCTCTCAAACCTCAAAACCCAAAAACATCAGCTCTCAACTTGTTCGTCTGTTCCAGTTGCTAGCTACGACGATTTGAAGTAAACACCACTGCGAGCTATTCGATCCTACTATGGAGATTGTTCCGACTACGTACTACGACAGCTTGAAGAGGTACTGGAGGAGGAGAAGCTACCAGAGGCTGCATGGCGAGACCAGAAAGAAGATGAGGGTTGCGAGGCTCGGCGGAGGAGCTAAAGGGAGCACTAGTCCTAAACGGAGTTGGAAGCTCAAGACCAAGCTGGGGATGCTGAAGTATGTTTCCCCTATAAAGCTTTTGGCTAAGTTGCATAATGGTTACGTTGACATGACGATTCGGATGGCGGGCAAGGCCGGCGGCGTCGGGAGGATTGCCGCGAAGAAGATCGCAAAACCCCAAGATCAGGTTTCAATGGCTACTTGTGGCAACGAGTTAGTTGACAGCAGACTGGTTTTGGAGATTTACAAGAGATTGGCTGCTTCCCGCCAATTGGCTGAGCATGGATTGATAGTTGAAAGCCAAAGCAACTTCTTCAACTTGATGGATATGTAGTTAGTTTCGCTTTCAGTGTCACAGATTTGATTAATTCTATCTGTTAATTCTTAAAAAGTTTGAACATCTACAGAAATTGTAAAATGTTTATACTCGTGGAAGCCTTTACAGAAACTCAATACATTGGTTGAATTTTTCGTACATTTGTGCCTATGATTTTTATGTTTTTGGAATTTGGATTAGAAATAAAACTTAATTATGCTTCGCGAGTCAAACCACCGCTATGAAATTATAACTCAATCCTATTTGGTAGAAAATGTTGTACTCGAAATCTTCTTAACACATAAACATGTAGGGGTTATGGTCAGAATCTGTACGCATGCTAATTTCAGGTACCAACTGTTGTTCTATGTGCCAAATCTTCTTTTTTGCTTATAAAATTATTTGACTAGAGAATATTGTTGATGCCGTTTTTCCATCGGAATGTGGTGTGAATTTGTTGATGTTAATTTTGTACCCTTTTGTTTTGTTTGTTTTTGTAATGGCCAGCTCATTCATTCCTGGAGAAACCGTAAGACCTAGCCTACCACTTTGACTTGGCACACAAGTCTTCTCCTCCTCAATTAAAACCCCCTCTGACTTCCTCTCTTCACACACCTCTCTCGAGCCATTTCTAGTCACACAAATTAAGAAACTGAGTGCAGACCCTAGTACTAATAGAAATTAATCAATTAAAATGGAGATTGTTTCGACCACTTAATACGACAACTTGAAGAGGTACTGGAGGAGGAGAAGGTACCAGAGGCTGAATGGTGAGACCAGAAAGAAGATGAGGGTAGTGAGGCTCGGTGGCGGATCTAAAGGGAGCAACATTCCTAGGCGGAGTTGGAAGCTCGAGACCAAGCTGAGGTTGCTGAAGTTTGTTTCCCCCATAAAGCTTTTTGGCTAAGTTGCATAACAGTTACGTTCAGTGGCGAATCCAGGAAATAATATTAGGGGGTCAGTAAGAATAGTGAGCGTAGCATGCAAATTTTTTTATACCAGAAATAGTATGGATATCATCATTTCATCGAGTCTTGGTGCATACTACATACCTGTTAATGTATGCAAGGGGCAGCACTCAAGATATTCATGGACATTCATCGGGTTTTGGTAGGCCTGAAGTCGGTTGGAGGGCATGTATGAAGTCAACTCTAATCTTCAAAAGGGCAGCACTCAAGGTATCCATGGACATTCATCGAAGTTTGAAAGGTCAGCACCTAAGGTACCTATGGAAGTTCATCCAAATTCGGAGGTCAGCTGACCTCCTTACCCCTTAATGGATCCGCCAGTGGTTACGTTGACATGATGATTCGGATGGCGGGAAAGGCCGCGGTGTGGGAAGGATTGCCGCGAAGAAGATTGCTAAACCTCATGACCAGATTACAATGGCTTCTTGTGGTGACAAATTAGTTGACAGCACATTGGTTATGGAGATTTACAAGAGGCTGTTGTGCTAGGATAACACCAAACCTTATGGAACCAACTATTGATAACCCACATGAAATATATCAAATGAAATGCAAGAACAAAATATTAAAGACACCAAGATTTTAACGAGATTCCTCAATAGTCAGTTTAACTGGAGTACGTTCTCGGAATAGTAGGAACTTACCCAATAATCCACTATCAATCAAATGAGAGTTTACAAAGTGTTGGCAAGCTCACAACTCAAAGGCCTAATATACCAAATAGCTCTCACACACCAAAGAAACAAATAGAAAGAAATATAATGAATAAGTTCATCTCTATACAAAGCTCAAAGCTATTACAACAACAACTACTTTGGTGGATGATTACTAACCAAATAGATGAGCTCTCTTTCAATGAGAGATGAGGCAGTCTTCTTCGTTTCTGCTGCTCTCTCAAAGATGGGCTACTAAAACAAATGGTGTTCTCTTCCTTCTCTCACATTCGGTTGCACACCTTCATCAATCAGAAAACACCCAAAAACAAAACCAATAATAAGACTACTTGCTAACCTTTACCTTTTTTCTACAAACATCATTATGACCCTTTTTATCTTTTCAACAAACATAATGATGTTTTCTACCTTTTTTTGTTTATTTTATTTAGCCGAAAGTTGTTTTGTCATTTGACCATAATTCACAGAGGCTGGCTGCTTCTCGCCAAGTAGCTGCCTGCTGATTCGAATTCATATATAAATTTAGTTTCATTTCATTTACTTCACTTTTCTTCCAGTTTATCAGAAGTCTGGAAGTTGGGCTGTTTGAGACAGTGATGTTGTAACAACAAAAGAGTTTGGAATTGTATAAATTTGTGATTTTTTTGATAATGGGGAGGGAGTCGGCAACAAATTTTACATTTTTGTTCTCAGGATGGCGTATGCATTCTCTAGAGATGGAGCCATGCCAATTTCACCACTTCGGCATAAAGTTTACAAACCAAAGTCCTCATAAACGCTGTTTGGCTTTCAGCTTCACTTGGCGTGGTTATTGCACTTAAAAGGTTTTTATTTATTTTTAAATACGGAATAACATGAATAATTTTAATATCGTTTTGGATGGAAATAACAGTAATCACATGATCACTTGCAGCAAGATTTTTTCTCTGCTTTCTTCGGCAACTGCTAACCATGTTTGTTTCGATATCTTTGCAGTCTCTCGGAAGCCTTGTGGCATACAATGCCATGGTTTCTATAGCAACCGTCGGACTGTACATTGTTTATGCCCTACCCATCTTCTTTAGGGTGACCTTGGCACGCAATGTTGTGCTAGGATAGCACCAAACCCGTTGGAACCAACTTAAGCTAACCCACAGGAAATTTACCAAATGAAAATGCAAGAACAAAATATTAAAGACACCAAAATTTTAACGAGGTTCCTCAACAGTCAGTGTAACTGGAGTACGTCCTCGGAGCAGTAGGAGCTCACCCAAGAATCCACTGTCAACCAAATGGGAGTTTACAAAATGTTGGCAATCTCACAACCCAAATAACCCAATACACCCAATAGCTCTCACACACTACATAAACAAATAGAGAAAGAAATATAATGAATAATTTATTCTCTATACATATAGCTCAAAGCTATTACAACAACAATTACTTTGGTGAATGATTACTAACCAAATGAAGCAGCAGCTTCTTTTTTTTCTTTTTGGGCTCTGCAACTCTCTTGCTCTCGGCAGCACAATCTTCTCTCTTCTGCTCTCATCTAAAAATGAGCTCTCCTTTTCTTCTCTTCTACCGAAACAAAACAATGAATTATGGTTTTTAAAAAACCACAAAAGAAGAAAACATCATCATGATGCCTCATTCTCATCATTTTGTCTTTCACTATTATATTCACCGAAAGTTTTTTCTTTATAATTTTTTATACCCAAAAGTTGGCCACTTGACCACATACTCCAACACGCAAATCCTTTGTCTCAGGACCTTTCAACTTGGGACACTACGGGGTGCTTTTGTTGGTTGAATTTCAGTTATTTGGGTAGCAACCATCTCCGTCCTCTTCTCAATCCTCGTGGCCTATCCAGTTACCAACGAGACACTCAACTATACTCCCGTAACCTGTTGGCGGTTTGTTGGTCATCACAGTTTTAGCTTGGATCCTCAGCGCTCAACACTGGTTTAAAGGTCCTATAACAAACATTGAAGCATGAACTTGTGTATATTCAATGATTTTCATCCCGGTCCAAAACGATGGTTTGTCTAAAGGAAATCCCGGTCCTGCTGCATGTGGAGGAGTTTTCAGGAATTGCCATGGTCGTTTTCTTGGAGGTTTCTGTCAACGGATTGGTCATTGCAACTCTTTTTTTGCAGAGTTATCAACAATTATTATTGGTATTGAGTTTGCTTATCAGCGGGGTTGACATTGTCTTTGGTTGGAAAGTGATAGTTCTAGTGTTATTTCTACTCTTCAATCGTCTGATTTTGATCATCCTTGGCCTCTTCATACGCAATGGTCTATTTGTTTGGATCGCATTCGGAAAATGACTTTCTACGCATCTCACATATATCACGAATGAAATCTTGTTGCGGACAATTTTGCTAACATGGGCTTGTCTTCTCCATCTTTAACATGGCACAATTCTCCACTGATGGCGGTTCGTGCTGCTTTGTTTTCTGACTATGTTGGCTTGCCTGGTTACCGCTTCTCAAATTAATGTGCATGTTGGGCAATCAGGTTTGTCTCACTTTTTTTTTTCTCCTATCTTTATGGTGTTGTTTGACTTGTTTTGCAAGTTTAGACCTTCATGTTTGGTTCTAGAGGGGTTAGGTTTCATGTCCCCCCCTTTTTTCTTTGTATCATTCTCGTTTTTTGTTTCTAGAAGGGTAAAGTTTATGTCCCCCCTTCTTTCTAGTGTATTCCTTTTTTAGGGGTAAGGTTTATGTCCCCCTTGACTAGGTGTAACTTGTTTTTTCGTTATCAATAAAATTACTCTCGTACCGTCGAGGTTTTCCAAAAAAAAAAAAAAAAAAAAAAAAAGATTTTCATTTCTTGCAATCATATATAGACTAGCATTATTTTTTTAAGAACATCTACCCATGCAATTTACTATTTTGTTTTGTTTTTTTTTGTTTTTTTACAAAAACTGATTGGCTTAATTTGTACAAATTACTCATTGTATGGTAAAATTCCAGATTATAGAAATGAAGTCTCATTTGGCTACAAATATTTGATTTGATACAAACTATAACCAACATAAAATATGGAATACAGACAGGAAGTCTTGTTTAAAAGGAAACTAATACTACCATCTTGAAGGGAAATATAATGCATGCTTGAATGAAACCCTGTATTTGGAACTGATAAACTACGGTGAATTCGGGCTATATTGAAGTTTCCGTTAGCAATTCACAGTAACCATTGGCATCACCTGCATTTGGTGCACTGTCAAACCAGTTGAACTCCTCTGGATCTTCTTCAAGCAGCTTCAACAGATCATCATACTCCAACATGGGTTGGTTATTGTTTGAACTAGCTGGAGAAGCCTCTCTTGCTACTGGCTTCCACCATTGAAGTCTGCTGGAAATGTTTCTGCATTGGCCGCATTGGCTGCATTGCCTGAAGCTATGTGTTCCGGCCCAACCTCAAGTACCTCAGTTGTTCCGCTGACTTCCGCTGAAAAGTGGTTCTGATTTTGGAAATTGATAGGGGTAGTCGGGGTTGGAGTGTAATAATGTGCTTGGTTCATGCCAACTTCAGTTGTTCCCGTGATTTCTGCGAAAAAAGTGGTTCTGATTATGGGAATTGATGGAAGTGGTCGGCGCTGGAGTATAAAGCTCCGCTTGATTCATGCCTACTTCAGTTGTTCCGGTGACTTCTGCTATTGTTCTGATTTTGGGCATGGAACGGAGCAGTCGATGCTGGACAATAACTCTGCGCTTGATTCATGCTGGTAGACGCATTTGGGAGCTGAAAAGTATTTGCTGATATGTAGGGAGAAGCAAACTCTGGAGTCATGTAGTTCGTACTCGGTAAGGTTGTTTTGCTTACTTTAAACCTTGTCTCTTCTAATCCAAGCGGGTGGTTTCTCTTCTCGATTTCATTCATGCCTGCACCTAATGTGAAGCTGTTTGTTTCTATTATCTGGTCCAAATTCTGAAACTTTCCATGAGTTCTCAAATAAAAGTCAAAGAGGCTTTCGCTTTGATGATTTGTGTTGTGAGACATGACTTTGTGTTCTGAATACGGATTCTGGCTTCTGTAGTCACTGACTCTGGTGAAAGAATTCGGAGTCGTTAATTGCGCTGGATTGCCTTGAACTCCAAAAGTTGAACTCCCTTGTTCGTATGGGCGGCATATTAGAGAAGTTTTCCTTGCTGGTGGAAATTCATTTCTGCTATTCCAACTGTATGGTCTACTTAATGAAGGTAAGCTCGTTGTGCCAGCCTCCTGAATTTCTTGTACTTGTTTCCTGTATTTCTAGAAGGAAAAAGAACCTGACATAAATCCTTCTGAAAACAATTACAAATGTGAAAAGAAGTTCTTAAGATATGAGTTGAAGAGAAACCTGTAGATGGCTTGCAACCTGGCGCAGCGTTATATTAGGCACATTCATCCATTTCAGAATCGATTTAGGACGAGCATCTGTGTCCAAAAGAAAACAAGAAACAAAAATAATTTAGCACTTCTTAAAGGTGTAGATAAAAAAAAAAGAAAACTAGATTGTTTTATGAGAAGGGAACAATTACTTTGATCTCCTAATGCACTTAGGGCTGCTGTAAACTTGAGATGAAGTTCCGGAGTCCAAATGGTGCGGCACCTTCTATCTTCGGAGCTGCCATTGCAATCCTTATTTTCCATTCCTTCCTCTTCCTTGTTTTTACTTCCAGAAACAGTTTGCTCGCGTTTAGTTTAACTTTCTTTGCTTTTTCTTGCTCTTCCTTATCATCGACTGGTCTCTTTATACCAAATGCTCCTTTTGTATGGTTCTCTGTGGCTATCTGCTGTTCAGCGCGAGAGCACTGTAGTTCTCTCTGACGATTTCCCTCACCTCTCCTAACTTTACCTGATTTGCATCTCAATGAGCGAGTGTCTTGCGCAAATCGTGTACAGCGGTAGGCCTACACACACCACGAACCTCATGGATTCTAATACCTCCAGTGGGAGGTCTAAGCACATTACCGGCCTCATCAATCTTCTTTGCATAATTTGGTTTATGTGTGTCCTTCCTTGGGTTTCTTACCTTCCGATAAACGTGTTGCCACACGTTTTTCAGATCATCTAAGGAGATTGGTTTCTAAAGAAAAAAGCATGCTTCTTCAGCTAGGGCCTTCTTGGCTACATTAATATTCACTTCTGAGGACATGACTGCGTTGAAATATGAGTTATGCAACAATTAGTACACAACCAGAAGGAATTTCCATAAGCCAATCGATCCAAATAGGAAAAGTTCTAGATACATTGAAGCTTACATATGACAAGAATCTTGATCTTATGCAGCACCCGTAGAAGCGAAAATCTGTGTTTATCTGGCATACTGATGTTAGCCATTACTAGATCATAATGATCCTTTTGTTCCCGAATCATCGACAATGCAACAGAAGCCAGAGCGGTTGTGGTAACTAGAGGAGCAACGAGAGAGAGAGAGTTATTAACCAGGTTGTGAAAAATAAAGATAATTCTTTTTTAAACGAAAATTTGCTCATTTGTGACCCAAATGTCATGAGTTCGAATTGTGTAAACAACCTCTTTGCAAAATAAGGTAAGGCTAGACATTCCTCCGACTTTAACAGAGTCTGAAGTCTTGTTGGCTTGAGATTGCCCTTTTATGTGCAGACAAATTATATATATCAAAGAAAATTATACAAACACATAGAAACAAGAAACGTAACAAAAATGACACATGCAAATAAACAGAAAAGATAACAGACATTTTATCTTAATACATATCTTATGTCAAGAAAGATTTAGCTCAATATAAAGACCAAAAAAAAAATTGTACAGCATAACAGACAAAATCAAGATAAATCTTATACCGTTTTCTTTGCCTAACTACTTAATCATTTAATGGCTCATTGTTCATCATATAACCTTGTTATTCTTGAATCTTGGTTTTGTTTTCATGGATTGCCTCGACCTTTAGATCCACACAAACAAGTTCAAATTTTCCATCTAAAATCAGTTAATTCGTTATATGTGTACACATAAAATATAGGTGGAGTTTTGTATCCATATAAGTCATATCTCATAGATCAGCATGACACCATATATTAGTGTGTGCAATTTCTGGAATGATATACCTTTGAATGAGTATGTTTTTTAACGTTGCCGCTGTGGACATGAGGGACAATGTATCATGATCTACCACCAAGATTTGGAGGTCATGTGCAAAGCTAGGGAGACCATTAGTCTTTTTAGGGCTCATGTGTTCCATGGATATCAAAACAATTAGAACAAGATTAAGTGCAACAGAGAAAGTATGAGATTTAGAAGCTTGAATCAGAAAAGAAAAATATTTTAGAATTCAGATTAGGGGGATTTATGTCATGGAAAAAAGGATTAGATATAGATTAAGAAGCTTTAAGCCTTTAACCTAGAGAGAGCGAGAGAGAGAGAGAGAGAGAGAGAGAGAGAGAGAGAGAGAGAGAGAGAGAGAGAGAGAGAAGATGAGAGTTACCAGTAGCATGCACTCTGAGGTGCTTAAGCAAAATTGAAATTGTTTGTTAGGGGAGCTCACATTTACCTATAAAACTGAAGAAATGGTCGTGAAACTGTGAAATTGTAAGTGAAATGGTTACACTCTGGTCAACGGAGTGTTGACCAACGTGACATGGTTAAAACTTGAAAGTAAAATAATAAGAAGATGAAGGAGAAAATTTTCATTATTTTCTTATTTTTCATGCCTTTTAAGTTTTGACATCATTCTTTTATTCTTTTTTGAAAATAGAAAACATTACAATGAAGATTCATGTCGTCGCTTCACATCTTTTGGATATTTGAGAGTCATATCACAGCACCGGCTAACCGTATAGTGTCATATTGGTCAAACCCAATCCCGACTTTTTTTAAAAAGATAGAGTTCCTCTAATGGTGAGTACATGAGTTAGTTATTTGGGTTTTAATGAGGTTTTTTTTAACTTAATTTCTTGCAATATTTAGAATTGACTAGTTTTATTTGAAAAAAATAAAAATAATTATATCTTTGCATACCATGTTTTTACCATTCCTATGTAGCGGGAAAAAAAAAATTAAAAATCATGCTGCGACTGAAGCTGATTATTCATGAGTGCCAAATAATGTTACTAAATCTGGAAATTAAACATCAATTAGAGTCAGCTTACTCAACACTTCAAAAATAAAAATAAAAACAAAAAAAATAAAATAAAAACAAAGAAACCTTTGAGCAATTAGTTTAGCCATGACTGGTAGGAATAACTCGTTTCATTAAAATTTAAACTAAGCTTGCGCATTTGGCGCGGACGGGACTAGCCTCGAGCCTCTTGGTAGGCGCTCCCGCGCTCCAACGATTTTTCAAATTTGTTAAACGTTCATATATTTTGATTACACAAGATGATTTGCTACTTGTCCGTTGTCCGTTGGGGAGTAAAAATGTAAAAACTTCCAAATATTACTAATTCAACATAACCTCCTGTTTTACAAAAGAAACTTCTCATTATATGCCATATTAAAAATGCAAAGGGTGAATGACCTAAAATTATTCGAACTTTAGGATTAGTTTCAAACTGTTCCTTGAACTTTGATCTCAACAAATTCATACGAAACACGCGAAAACCCGATACTTAGATACATTATTAGTCAACGAGTCATCTAATTTCCTAGACTTGTTTGAAATCAACAATTTGGGTAGTCTTAAGTAGTTTACCAAAATAAAAATTTATGATTATCTTTTTAAGAAATTCTTTAAAGAAATGATTAAGGGAGGTGTCGCTGTGATTTTTCAAATCCTGTCATTACTCTAAAATCCTTAAGTTTTCACTACTTAGTATTACGATTTAATGATATTTTTTCTTTACTTTTAAATGAAATATTCTTGACTTGAATATCATGAACGGCAGATATGATACAAATTTATTTTCTTCCGCTTCGCGTATATATTTTGGTGTATATCTTGACCATTGACTCATTTTAAGATATGTTGGGTAATTGGATTGATGGATAAAGCCCAGCCCAAATGAAGCCCATGTTAGGAATTAGGCTTGGACCAAACCCAACAACAAATTACTAACCCGATCTGTGTTAGATATTTTTTGTTCTTTCCCTTTTTCTGTTGCAATCTGTGTTTGATTTTTAGGCTTCTTCTTTCGGCGGGACGCTTAAAATTCTCTCGAATTAAATTGAATCGAAATTTCGCAGAGTCTGATTTCGGGTCGGCAATGGTGAGAGGCTCACTCCATACTCATTAGGGTTTTAATTTGTTCAATTTTCACTTTTTATATTCAGCAGCGGAAGCATATCTGACTGCAATTTCTGATTTTCCAGGAGGATTTTTCCGAAGAGCTCGAGCCCTTATTCGATTACAGACGCGTTCAGCCCGTCAATCTAATTTTCCTCGACGGTGAGCTCTTTCCTGCTAATTTCAGTCGATTCAGTTGATAGGAAACTTCAATTATTCAACTTTTTTCATAAAAAAAACTTGATTTGATTTTTGTTTTTGTTTATATGTTTGTATAGACGATGAATTAGATGCTCCGTCAGCTTCTCCTCCGAAAAGGAGGGAAATTTCGGATTCCGCGGTACCGAATTTGTTATTGAAGTTCATATGTGCTCTGTGTGTGTTAAATTCCATTTGATAAGAGGAATTGTTGTAAATTGCAGTCTCTGTTGACATTGATATTTTGGATAATATTGTGGTTAGGTTGAGAAGGTTGATGAACCTGTGAAGGTAGTGAGTGTTATTAGTTGTGAAGATAAGGAAGAGGAGGACTGGTTACCTCCTCCACCCAAGGTTTCTGCCGGCACGAAGCGGAAGGGTGAGGATTCTACCATAAAGGAACTGAGGTATTTGAATTTTGGGTTTTTATTGTAATTATTATATCTATCAAGACATATATCTTTCCCTCGAGAAGAAATTTGTGACAGATTAGTGGCTAGTGCATGCGCTTTCCCGTTCATTAGATTCCAGTTGGTAACTGGAATTTTACGCTTTTATCGTGTTATGAAGGAAGTATAGTTTAATGAGGGCGGTTATCTTAGAACATTAAGGCTTTATTTGGGTCTCATAAATAGTGATGGCTTGGTATGCTTGTTGATATTGGTTTACCCTTTATCGTTTTGGTTTTTCAGTTGCAATTCAAATTTTCCAATTAAATGTGGTCTATGTATGTAGGAAAAAGAAGAAAGAGCTGGCATCGTATGCACAATCTGCTGAAAATGTGCTGAGATCGGTAGAGGAGTCTGTGATAAAAGAACTTAGTATCTTATCTGAGGCTGTTGAAGAACAACCTCCAAAGCCCCGCCCTGAAAGAAACAAAATAGTTGTATCTATTCAAGACAAAGATGGAGTTAAGCAGTTTCGTATTTATGCGGTATGTTGTGCCAGAAGTATTAACTTTCAATGTTTGTCTAGTACTCTTTGGCCTAATCTCTGATGTATATACAGGCTATGTGATATTAAACATTGTAATATTTTTAATTATGTTTCCTTCTACTTCAACAGGACGACAAGTTTGAGCGCCTCTTCAAAATGTATGCAGATAATGTTAAGCTTGACCTTCAGAGTCTGGTGTTTTGTTTTGATGGTGACAAAATAGGTCCAGCTGCTACGCCTGATGCCCTTGGGATGGAGGAAAATGACATTATTGAAGTGCACGTTACCTCAAGATGACATGGTATCAATCATGATTTCGCAATCCGTTTCTTCACTCGTATCCCTTTTTACATTCTGGCTTTAGCGTATATCCTTACACTCATGATATTAGCGTTTTAGGTATAGAAGTATAAATACATCAAATTTACTGGAAACAAAAAAATTAGGAGCAGAAGCCTTGCCCCTGGGTACGACCTTTTTAGAAGCCTTGCCCCTTGGCTATGCTTAAATTTGAAAGGGTGGACATGGTTTGGGGTGGTTAAGAGCAAGAACCTGTTTTACTTACTTCAGAACTGGGGGAATGATATAAATATGTTGCCACATTAAATTCTTTAGACGTGCAATTTAAGTAGCTACTATACTAGTTTGAAGATTCTCACTATGTAGAATGGAAAGACGAAGTATTGATCTCCATTAGTGTTAGACCTGTTTTTTGTTGTAAAAATTGACAACATTTGAGCAGTTAGGTGGGTCTGCTAAGGGCTGCTGTAGTCCCTGACGAATTCATTCAGAAAGGGGACTACCCTGGATATATAGGAAGTAGAAACTGAGTGCTGTTTGTGGCAAAAGAAGCAGTTGACAGAATCTAGCTGATTTGCGTGCGTTGTTTGGGGAAGGAAAACCTTAATCTAGATTCACCCTCATTTTACTTTCTTAGTTACTGCTGCTGTCGATTGATCTTTGTTTTAGATGTTTATTTGTTAACTTATGGATGTTTATTTGTTAACTTGCAGTGTTTTGAATATTGCTTCTTTGAGTTCAGTTTTTTCTTCGACAGATGCACTAAAACCGTCACCTTGATGAATCTTTGATGGGGACTAGAAGGGGCGTAGGTGGTCGTCTTTTGGTGCATGTTTATAGTTTGTGCAGTACCTGCATTTTAATTGTATAGTATGCCATTATATTTTGAAATTATGTTAGAAGCAAGCTTCAAAGTACAGAACTTGGACTTGGGGGAAAGAAAACACCCTTCACGTATCTTATGTGAGCTTCGACAGTGGACCTGATTGAGAGTATTCCCTAACTTTTTGTGATATGATAAGAAAAACTTACCTATGTTAGCGATGTGACTGTCGTAGTGTTTTAAACCAATAATGCAACATCGGGCATTTCTGCCTTGTGGAAGTTCTTCACAGTGCAAAGTCAAGTGTATTGATAATTAAATTTTTGGACATTGTTTGATTCCGTACATGCTAGTCGTTTATACTAACATGTAAATTATAATTTAACCTGTAATCAAATTACATGTTTAACCCGTAAACAAATTACATGTTCAAATTCTCATTTATCTATAAGGAAAAATAATTGAGAGAAGTGTTGTTCTTGCATTACGGTGTAGTTTTGAATCCTGCTAGCTTCCTAATTTAACATTTGATTTAATAAATTTATTGTTTTGATAAAAAAAAAATGAAGTATCTCCCTAAAATTGGTGGGGTGGATTAAAAACCGAAAGAAAAAAAAATAGAGAAAATGAAACAGCCATCGGCGGAACCAGGTGAGAGTTTGGATCACATGGATCGCGTAAGAAGTCACACTTGTCTCTCAGTCAATGGGAATTGGATGACGTGGATGATGATCCCACTGCCACGAACCACGTATCCGAATCCACGCTGGAAAAGTTTCCGCTTTTAAATGTCCACGTCAGACCCATAAAGTTTCAAAAGTGATAAAAGGAGGAAGAAGTAGAAGATATCCAAAACAAAGAGCTTAATGCTCTCATTCACCCGCTCTACGTAAAGAGGTACTTTTTCTCCGAATTTTGTCTACTTTTTTTTTTTTTTTAATTATAATTGAATTTCTATATGATGATAAAATTTCAAACTTTGCTAAGAACGCATCACAGTATAATCACACGATACGATAAGATGGATTTATCTTCTAGATTCTCATTCAAAGATCGTCTTTGTAAAAATTCACCGAAAATCGGAAATCATTTAGTCATTCGGTTAGTGCATAAGGACTGGTGAATTGTCTCTCAACCATCCGTATCTGATCTAAAAAGTAAAAGCTGAGAAACATGAAGCCCTGATCTTATTAAGATCTAAATGGAAAATCACAAATAGTATGTTTACACACACACACATACGTGCAAGAAAGATTGTATATTTAATGTTGGTTATCTGTGACAGCAATAGGGCTTGGCAGAATTGGGGTTTCAAAGTTTTGAAGGACGGAAAATAAAGAGATTTTGTGAATTCTGCTTGGCATTGAGGCCAGTTGTGTACTGTAAAGCTGATGCAGCACATCTTTGCCTTTCCTGCGATGCGAAGGTCCATTCGGCAAACACACTCTTTAACCGGCATATGCGCAGTATTTTGTGTGATTCGTGCAGATACCGCCCAGCTTATATCCAGTGTTTGGATCACAAGATGTTTATGTGCTGTGCCTGTGAGAGTGCTTTGCACATGATCCCTTCCCAACATCAGAAAAGGGCAATCAGCTGTTACACAGGTCAGTTGAGTTTTCCTAGTATGATTTGATGTATGCAATCAACAGTAACCCAACTCGACTGCTAGATTTAGCAATGTATGCAATACATATTGATGGATTGTAGAATTTTCGTACACAGGTCACCGCTTGCTAAGGACTTGTCCAATTCTTGTGGCTCTTCTTGTGACTCAAGTGCAGTAAACTTGGATGGTCTAGAACAGTCTTGCTCTCGAGCCGAAAGCCTTCCGGCAGTAAATTCTCTCACCTGGATTCCAGGTGCTGAATCTGAAGCAGTCAACAATACAAGGTATGCAGGAACTATTTATATGTTATCTTTAAACTTGGCTGAGAATGTAATTGGCACTATTGAATATACAATGTGAAAATGGTATGTAAATCTTCATTGTCTAGTTTTATTTAGCCGCACTTAAAAAAAAACATGATCAGACTACCAGAATTGGAGTTTCTCTTGATAATGAACATCCGCCGTTATGGAAGAGGTGCAGTCTTCTGTGACTAGGTTTGAGAATTCACAGTAATTTCGCATGTTAAAGTGTACGTCAGTGCTTGTTCTATCTTGCAGATATCTCATGAAGGTCAGGAGCATAATTTCATTCTGCACCAGATTCTTGACTTGAAAAGGCTTCAGCTTGCTGAGGGGAATACACCTTCGCTGCTGATACGCGGTACAGAACAAATTGACCTATCTTCCTCAGTACTTCAGACATCAAAGCGGCTCAATGTTCATCTTGATCGGCTTTTACAACATTCCCAGAATTCCGGCACTAAATTTAGGCAAAGGGACAGTCTAGTTCAGGAGCTGAAAGTTGATCATTTATCATTTCCATTTTCTCAAATGGAGCTTATGCAACCATCTTCAACTGCTGGACTTCCATTGCATACAGAATCCTTTTGGCAATGCAGAAGTACGGTTCAAAGTAATCAGGTTAGATTAATGCCAGTGAAATTGATTTATTTGGATTCTTGGGATCATATGTAGTTATTTATCACTTGTTATTCATTTAAACACTTATCTGATACCATTTAGAAGTGCCGCGATAGAAAGAATAAGGTTTAATTATGTTCAACAACAACTGAAAACTTTAGGCCTTGTTAGTTAGAAAAATGTCATACCCAGTGCACAAGGCTCCCGCTTTACGCAGGGTCGTACCCAGGGCCTTGTTAGTTAGAAATTAGAACAAATTTCATTTTGTTTTACCATATGGTCATGTATTGGTTTTGTAGTTGTGGCCTCAAAATATGCAAGACATAGGAGTTTGTGAAGAACTTGTTTGTCCCGATGATTTCAATATACCTGATGTTGATATGACATTTCAAAACTTCGAAGAACTATTCGGAGGTGATCAAGATCCTATCAGAGCTGCAGTGCTTCATGATAAAGATGTGTTATAAAGGGCATATCCGTTGATAAATCAGATAATGGCAATGCAAGTGCAGTCGTGGTGTGAATTTTGATTTTCCTTCCCTTCTGGTTTGTGGCTTATACTCTCTTCTCATTTCTGTTCCTATATGATCATTTGGCAGGAACATGATGCATCTGAGGTTTCGTCTGTTTTCATTAATCAGTCACCTGACTTTGACAACGATAAGGCTTGTAACGAACCTCAAAACCATCAACAGAACATGGATTCTCCGTGACTTCCGATCACAAGAAGAAGTTGATTAAACTTTTGCTTTGGATGCATCTTGGTCTTGTGCATATATAACTGTACAGTTTGATTTTCTGGTTGGAAAATACATCACAATTCATGCTTCGTTTGAAAATCTTGATATCATCTCACATTACAGTAATCAATAACAATAACAACAATAAAGTCGTATCTCACTAGCTATATAAATTTTAGAATGCCATGCCACTTAATTTTGCGGCAAGTCTTTTGTTAGCTCTAAGTACTCCATGTCTTTTCTTAAAGTCTTTGTCCAAGTCTTCCTAAGTTTTCCTCTACCCCTTTTGCCTTGAGTCTTAATCTCATATCACATTTTCTAATCAGAATATCTGTAGGTCTTCGTTTCACATGTTCAAATCACCTTAACTGATTTTCTCCCATCTTATCTTCAATTGCGGATAACCTCATTCTTAATCATGTCATTTCTCATCTACCCAAAAGTGTACGAAATATTTTCTGATGAAATTGACGTTCCACATCACCCAGTTGTTGTCTACGTGTAGGCTTGAAAATCCGCCACACATGCGGGGGCGTGTTGAGAGTTGTTCCACATCGGTGAGGGATAATGCTTGCTATGTGCTTATATGGTCTTGGGCTACTCCTCATATTGCCAATTGGTTTTATGGTAGAATCTCAATTTCAATAAGGTTTGCTATGTGCTTATATGATATTGGGCTACTCCCCATATTACCAATTGGTTTTATGGTGGAACCTCAATTTCATCATGGTATCGGAGCAGGTTGTCCTCGTGTGAAGTCAAACGGCCACACGCGCTCCACGTCACCCAGTTGTTGTCCACATGTAGGCTTGAAAATCCGCCACAAGTGCGGGGGCGTGTTGAGAGTTGTCCCACATCGGTGAGGGACAAGGTTTGCTATGTGCTTATATGATCTTGGGCTACACCCTATATTACCAATTGGTTTTATGGTGGAACCTCAATTTCATCATTTTCATCTCTGCTACATTCATTTCTTGCATGCGTTCATAAATAAAAAATTACTTTGAGTTAATGCAATATGATTTCCTTGTTGGTAAAGTTATTGTTTTGATGCAAATGAAAGCATGAACAAGCTTATGTCATGTCAAATGTCAATTTATAGAATTTAGGTAGGATATTTTTTCAACTTGTCTCCTCTATTATCGTATCAAGTACTAGGTTTTGCCTAATTAATCATAGCTCCTGTTGGGTTTGGTGGCTGAGATTAGAGCCACAACTGAGTCCCAAATCCGTGGGTGGGGTGAGCCATCTATGGTTTACAAGGAATAGTACCACATATACTGCCGATGTCTTTTGGTAAAATTTCATATCCGTTTTTTTGTGTGGCTAAGGTGGGAGAATATTGGCAATACCGACTCCTGTGTGTGAAGCTTGTTGGTGTGCTTCCGCACAAGAGTTCCCACTCCCGGCTGGTTGTGTGATTAGTCATGCTCGACTCCTTATGCTAGCTTTAGACTTTAATGGCAATATCAAATTCATCTTTTCGCTTCTTTTCCTTTATTTTCGGATTAGTGCAAATATAATTTGTACGAGGGTGGTGAATAAATATGTTTCAAAACTGCTATATTTAATATATATTTTTTCTTACTATATTTATACTATTTTTTAAATAAAATTTGTCACTATGTATTCAAATGTGAGAGCGATAAGGGGCTTTTTGGTATGTTTACAAAGAGTTGGGCAACGTTACCACATGATAAAATTGGATTTGATAAAAAAAAATTGTAGAGTAGGTTTGTCGCACATTACTGAATGTATTATTTTAAAAAAACACTAAATTTATTAGTTGAATAGGATAATTTTGTGGCACATTATGATTTGACAAAATTAAGAATATTTTCGTCTTATTTAACAGATTTTTGTCGCACATTGAATAGGGTAATTTTTCATAAACCACTTCTAAGACCATCTCCAACCCTTGGGCTAAAAGCCAAATTTTTTAGCCCGGAAAATTTGGCTTTTAGCCCAGAAACATCTTTTCTGCTCCAACCCTTCTGGCCTAAAATTTTAGCCCGGAATTATTAAAGAATGAACTTAGGCTAATTTTTTTCTTAAATCAATATTTTTTTTTAAAATAAATATGTAGATTATTGTAAATTAATTTTATGAACATTTTAATCTAAAAAAATTTAAATTCCGATAAATATTGAAAAATCATTAAATTTTTTACAAAGCAAACTACTTTCACCAACCTTTCAACTTTCACCAACCGTTCATCTTTCACCAACCGTTCAACTCCAAACTTTCAACTTTCACCAACCATTCAACACCAAACTTTCAACTTTCAACACCAAACTTTCAACTTTCACCAACCGTTCAACACAAAATTTTCAACTTTCACCAACCGTCCATCAATCATCCTCTATATAAACACAGGTCCAATATTAGTGATCACACAATCTTTCAACCTTCAATCATCCTCTATATTCACCAATCTTTCAACTTTCAAAGAGTTTTTGTTTCCTAAAAATTCTCAATATCTCATCAATGAGTGATAGAAGAAGGCGTAGCAGGGCAATGGAGATGGCACAATACCAAGCATGTTGCAACTTAAAAACTTGATTTTTTGGTGTTACTCTTGTCTTGTAAATTTCCATTGCTTTGTCACCCTATGCAAAAAATACATAAAAATAATTAGTTGCAAAATAATATTATGTACATGACAAATAAAATATCAAGAAAAAAACTCACAATTTCTATGGCGCTCCTTCCACTAGGCATGCCAACCATGGCTCTCTCTAAGCTTCCCTTCCATAAAGTGCATGCTTTGTTGATAGTCTTCCACTGATCATAAACACCACCACCGTCTCGCCCGCTGCCGTTGCAGTTTTCTTGAAACTTTGCAATGATTTTATCTCACAAAACCTTTTTATTTTGATTTGTGCCAACTGCACCATCTTCACTAACAGACACCCATGCCAAGCATAAAGAAACATCTTCCTCAAAGGTCCAATTACGACCTCTAACATGCTCTCTTGCCATGTTGAACAATTTGGAAATGGAAAGAAATGATAGAAAGATAAATTGGAAGAATTGTAGGAGAAAATTGAATTTTGTGTGGATGTTTGAACAAATAGATAGGTATTTATAGATTTTTTGGGTAAATTTTGTGTTAAATAAATTTATTTAATTATTTTAGCCGTTGGATTTAAATTTGGGCCGTTAGATCTTTTTTTTACCGTTAGATTTGAGTATATTCAATCTGAACCGTTAGATTCAATGTATTTTAAAATAATATATTTTTTAAAAATAAAGTTTGAATCTGGACCGTTGGATCAACCAACGGTCCTTAAATCCTGCCTGTTTGATTTCGAAAAGAGCCGTTGGGGCTCTGAAGAGTGGCCGACAAGGCCTGACGGTGGGACCCCCTCTTGTCGGGCTCCGGTTGCAAGCTGTGGGCGTGGGGCGCGTGCGCGAGTCCACGGGCCGAGAGTGGCCCAAAACTGGGCGAGTCCACGCGGCTGGGGGGGGGGGAATTTGGCCCAATTTTAGCATTCCCCTTTTAGCCCAATATTTTAGCTTGGGTTGGGGGGTGTTTGGGGGGAATTTTGGGCTAAATATTTGGCATTTAGCTCAGAGTTGGAGTAGGTCTAACAATTTTAAATCTCACGAATTAAAGTGAATGTGACATCAACTATTTGTATTTGAAAAAAAAAATTAAAAGATCAACAAAAGAGGAGTATGGATAATGGAGGTACGGAAATCCGTACTTGGCAGCTGGCTATTCGTGTGGTTGGGTATATGGACTCCACAACTCAGTCCTAACTCCCGCGCCGAAATACCTAACAGAGCTCAAGTGCTGTCAAACCCCCATTGGCGGAAGCAGGTAAGGTCTCTTCATCCACCAATAAGAACATCCCTTCAGACCGCCGGTGGGACCCGCTGTCCATGATCCATGTCGGAATATTACGCTTATAAAAAAGGTTCACTTTTACACGTCCCCCCATATAGCCAAAGAAGTTTCGGAGAAGATGATTTCTAAGAGGCCATGAACATTTGAGCGGCAGCTCCTCCGAATCAGAAGAGAAGAAGGTCAGCCTCATGAGCCTTGATTTTTTTTCCCCGGAAAAATTGTATTTCTTAGTGCAAAATTCTACGCAGTAGACGTTCTGAGACTGCTTTTTTTTTTTTCTTTCTCAGGAAATAAGATGATAGGTTTTAGTTTATCTTTACTTATTAGGGTTTTTAATTAAGTTTCTGAATTTTAAACTACAATTATTTTTGGGATTAATTTGTACGTATACAGGGGATCTTTTTTAGTGTTTTCTTTTAGTTTGGAATCTTTGGATCGCCTAAGACGAATTGAGGTTGCTGTTTACCCCTTTTTTTTTTCCTTCAATTTGTTCGGAAGTTTCCTAGGCTTTTTTTCGAGATTTACACATTTACGTTAGCCATCGATTGGGTTAGGGCCGGATCTACAGAGGGACTCGGTGGTCCCGGGAGCCACGGGAGAAAGGCTTGAGAGGACCTCCGAGCACTCCCCAATTATATGTGCAGGTTGTGCTGGCTGAATTTAGATGCAATGTCTGCGGCACGGTGGCTACAACTCGCGAAGAAGAGGAGTTGTTTTGCTTTATCTTTTGAAACTCAACACGCCGACATTTTAAAGGCTTGAATTTAATAAAACGCTGCGTAGGGAGAGTTGTCTTTGTTCGTTTTAAAGGATTGACTTTAATAAAATGCTGCTGTTGTTTTTATGAACAAATAATGCTCTATTTGTCTGCAAGAGCATTTCGTTGCTGCATAAATTACGTATAATGATTAGTAAAGTGTTTAATTTTGTGACGATGAGTTAACAAAAACAAATTCGTATGTTGAGGTTTATAAATGTTGAATTAATAAGCATAGTATGTGTACAACTGCTAGTTAATTAAAAAGAGAAGCAAGTTAATACGTTGTTTAATTAAGTCAAAACAGGTCAGTTCAAGTCCAGTGACCACTGGTGTGATGAATATCTGCTGCAGCAATTTGAATCTTTGGAGGAATTTGGTGAAGTATATATATATATATAGAGGTCAAACCCAATGAAGAAAAGTTGTGATTTGTGCTTGGATTTAAGGCCAGTTGTGTACTGTAAAGCCGACGCTGCACATCTTTGCCTTCCCTGCGATGCAAAAGTCCATTCTGCTAACCCAATTGTCGACTCCCATCAGCGAACCCTCTTATGCGATTCGTGCAAATACCGTTCAGCCGACGATCAGTGTTTGGATCACCGGATGTTTATGTGCCGCGTATGCGACCAGAGCCTGCACCGGCACTCTTCACGGCCGCATCAGAAACGGACCATGATCAGCAGTTATACCGGTTGCCCATCCGCCAAGGAATTTGCAGCATTTTGGGGGTTCCAACTGAATGAGAATCTGTCCACCAGTACTGGCAGAAATGTGGTAAACTTGGAATTTCTATGACGAGCCAAACTTTACATTTCGATCTCTAAAAGTTAGGGTTTTTTTTTTTTTTTTTTTTTTTTGGTATTAATATCTTTTGCAGATATCTTCCCATGGAGATGGAGGTAAATATCAGAAAAGCTCTTGTAACAGTTTTATTCTGGATCAGATTCTTGATTTGAAAAGGCTTCAGCTGAGTGAGGAGAATAACCCTAATTCATTTCTGGTATCTGCTCATGATCAACAAAGTCATGATAAACGTTCTTCAGTGCATCATCACAACAGTGCTACTTCAAGCCGGAAATTCGAATGTAATGAAGAACTTCCATTTTATACAGAATCATCTTGGCATTGCAGAAGTCCAGTGCAAAATAGTCAGGTAAATGACAGAAATTACGGGCAGTAGATCAATGCATGACATACATTTATGAATTAATCGGCTGAATATGCACCGAAGAATTCTCAATTGATTGATTTTGCAGCTGTGGTCTCAGAATATGCAAGATCTCGGGGTTTGTGAAGAACAAACTTACGATCATGCTGATCTCAATACGCCTGACGTTGATTCGACGTTCCGAAACTTCGAGGAGTCATTTGGAGCTGATCAATATGTATCATATGAGGGCCATGCTAGAGCAAAGGAGGTCTCTGAACATCAATCATATTCATTTCTTTTGTTTCTTTCTTAAATAAATATAACGTATATATTGTGTGTGTTTTTTTTTCCTTTTAGCAGAAGTACGATTACAAATGCAGAGCCGCAATTCATGAAAGTTATGCTGCAAATTCAAAGGGAAGATAATCCATTATTCTCTTGGGCGGAAGTTAAGTATTTGCTCTTACCATTCATAGAAGCTATAAGATCCAACACATTTCTCGTTATCTATCTTAGTGACGAGTATTCCATGAATAAAAAATAGGAGATAGTGTTTGTTTTTCATTTATGTACTAGTATAATGTACACAACATATGAAAGGGTACGTGACATACTGGTTGTACAAAGTTCACTGCCTTAATTAAGGAATTACTTACGTGAGTGTGCCTCATTGTCCACCCAATTTTAATAACGGATTTCACCATACACATGTTATAATCGAGTTCTTAATTCATATTTAAAGATCAACTTTGTAAAAAACAATCAAGTTGAAGATATTTTAATCATCAGTATCATGAGAATCTTATTTGTTACCATTGATTTGTTACATATGGAAGACTAATGATTTCCAATTTGATTTCATAGATAATGTTTGAATCATAAGAAGCTACGTGGAAAACACGGCCAAACTGCATAGAAAAAGACAGTAAAACCATTTAGCAGTTTGTTTGAATAAAGAAGAAGCTTAATTATGCTGAGAAAACATGCTATTGGGAGGGAGGCATTCGGGATCGATCTTACCAAACATCGGATAGTAGATTTTGATGGCAGGTTGTTATACCAGTGGATGTGTTAAACAAGCAACCTCCTCCCCATAACCATAACCGATAGAAAGCGATGATTGTATTCCGTCTTTCATTTGAATGCTACTCATGTCCTAATCGGTTTTTTAAATAATTAACCACCTTAATTAAAAGTTAATTGAAAACCGGTTTACCCAAAAGGCCAAATAAAGCTAATTTTATATTAAGAACACAATAACATTTCTAAATCTTCTAAGTAAAAATATGAGTGATTGGATTATTTTAGGTAACAATTTGAGGGTTGATCAACCCATTGGTTGACCCAAAACAAGTAACAACAATAATAAAGCTTTATCCTATTAAATATGATCGACTGTATGAATCTTAAAACGCTATTGCGCTCATTTTATATCAAATCTTCGATTAACTCTAAATATTTCATATCTGTTTTCAAGTCTATTTAGGCATTTCTCTACCCTTTTGGTATTTGTAACATTTGTTGCAAACTAGTTGCCAGTTGGCACTCACTCAGTCACTCTAACCTCGTGGGTGAACACACTGAGTAAATTATCTACTGCGGGCGCTTGTATGTTGAATCTCATCATGCCCCATATCTGACGGGCCGGAAAGGTTTGAAAACCGTTCGATCAAATCCATCAAAATCCAATGGCTCAAAGGAACTGAAGATATAACTTCCTGCTCTTCAGTAGTTCAGTTCTAACTAACCGATGATAGTAAATGACCAAAAAACCCTGCATAATACAACAAAGCTGGTCTAACAATGAGGACAGATCAGGTAAAAAACACTAGGATGCCTCGGTTGAGAAGCTGATAAGGCATTCAGCTAAGCGCTTGTCTAAAACAGTTTCGAATCCGTTTTGCTCCTCCCCTTTCCCTCCAAATCTCTCCTCCACCGCCACGCCTTTAAAACCAGCCACCGTACCTGAGCACCTCCATTCGTTACTCTTCTCACTCCAACTGGAGGAGGAGGAGAAAGAGGAGAAGATCTTCTGTTGCTTCTGAAGGTAAACAACTGCTCTTCTTTTTCTCTCGATCCAAACAGCTTTTTAGTCTCTGTTTTGATTCTTTGTTCGATCGATTTCTCCTCAATTTTTTGACAATTCTATTTATTTTTCAATATATGTGAAATTAAATTTAGATCTGTTTTCATTAATTAGATTGCTTCAGAGAGCACTGCTCCTCTGTTAAATTTCAGAGTAAAATTGAAGAAATTGAACCGGAATTTCGAGAAAAGGTACAATTCCTGTTCGCTTACGTGCTTTTCTTGATTATAAAGCGATAGATTTCTTGTTTTTCTTTCGCGAATTGAACTTAACGCTTTTTTTGCGTTGGCTCTGTAATTCAGGTGCAGCGAAACGAAGACAATGGAGATGCAAAACGACACTTCCTGTACCGCTTATGGCGGCCACGCCACATCTGCAATGCCGCAATCGCCACTTAAATCGCAATCTAGCGAAGATAATGCCGTGTTCGCTTCCCTCTACTCCGCTATATTCGATCGCAAGCCTTCGGTAAGTCGATACGACGTCGAAGAATCGGACCACGACTCGTCTTCAGCTCACCGCCACCGCCAACTCTACCATTCGATCCTCGTTCAAGATCATCAGGAGATGGTGAACCGCCACAGCCGCTGCCTCAAGCGCCTCCAAGAAACCTCCGAGGAAGCCGACGCTCTCCGTCGCGAGAACGTTCATCTCCGCTCTCTCAATCTCGAGCTCAACAAGCAACTCAGTCTACTCATCCACGCCTCCGTGCAGAAACAGTTCGGTTCCCCTTCCTCTGTGCAGACAACGACGCCGTTTGGGATCGTTAGCGGACTTCGCGACATGAGAATTGATGACAAGCGAGCAGAGCGGGACGTGTCCAACAAGAGCCCTACGAGTGTGATTGAGAGCGAAGGCGGCGACGCCGAGAATATTGATGTGGAGAGGTTTTCGCTGCCTAAGAGCATTTCTGTGAGGTCTAACGGATACGTGAAGGCTGCTCAGGCCGCTCAAGCCGGTGCTAGCACTGCCACTCGGACTGTGACCGCCACTGCATTCAATGCTTCGGTAAGCCATTTCCTATATCCTCACTATTGAATTTTCTTTAATTTAATTCACAAAATTATAATTTTCAGTCTAATTCTAATGCGGTTTTTATTTTACTTTAGTTTTTTTTTTAATTTGCGTAATTCTTAATCTAATTTCGATGCGGACAAACAGTTGTTGAATAAACAGTGCATCAACTTTCAGTTTTATTTTGTGTAATGATGGTGGTGGGAACTGATGATGACGATGGTTGGTGCAGCAAAAAGTGTTCGTTCCGAAAGGGGTGAAAGAGGAGGAGCCACCGCTGGAATTGGAAGTTTACAACCAAGGCATGTTCAAGACAGAGCTGTGCAACAAGTGGCAGGAGGTCGGAGAGTGTCCTTACGGCGATCACTGCCAGTTTGCACATGGGATTGAGGAGCTCCGCCCTGTGATCCGCCACCCGCGCTACAAGACCGAGGTCTGCAGGATGGTGCTTTCCGGTGCTGTCTGCCCGTACGGTCACCGCTGCCATTTCCGCCACGCCCTCACCGAGAATGAGAAGCTGATGGTTCCAAACAAGCCCAGGCAAAGGCAGTTCAATCGGGACAGGTAAAATAAATGAGTATGATGATGGAGAGCCAAATGTTTATGTTACATATGCCTCCCATCGGAAGATATCGTATATATATCGGGTATGAAGTAAGTATAAATACGGACTTAAACAAAATAAAAACTAATTAGTCTCATATGATACGATGCGGTAAGTAATAAACATGTTTAGGTCAAATGTGTAAAAACTTAATGGCGATGGCGTAAAAGGCAAAGGAAAATGGCCTGAAAAGGTGAAGAAAAGACACGGTTTCTAGCCAGAGAGATATGAGCTCCTATCTCATTTTTGTATAAGTTGATTCGGGTTCAACTAAATTGAACATTTGGAAGCATCATCATATATACTTCTTCATCCATGAGGTGTTTGGTGTTTCTTCAGAGATATGAGCTCTTAAGCCTCCTTTTTTTTTTTTTTTTTTTTTTTAAATATTGTTATATTGTTCCTCTATAAGGAATGAATTTTGCACGTTAATGTATCTTTTAAACCGCACATTCTCTTTTGTTTCAATGAATTTATTTTGTTTCCCTGCATATGATACTACAACTTCTTTATTTATATTTTTATTTATATTATTTATTCTGTAAAATGTGTTTTTCCGGGGGGGGCGCAACGAGAAGCCCTTTCATACACCCACCAAATGAATTTTAGACCCGATGAATTTATTTTGGGTAGTAGTATCATTCAGTTTTATCTCTTACACACTCTTGTTAAATTAATATTTATCCATTGGTATTCTTCAATTGTTAAATCTGACCATCGAAAAATGAGAGGAGTGCTTAAGAAGTAAAAGACGATATGTGGATAACACCACATATTATTTTTGCTCAAACGTAAAACTTCTAGATTGAAAATATGGAGCAAAAAAATTAGAGCATATTAGACAATAAAAACATGAAATAAGAAAGAAGGCCTATGCTCAGCCCAAACATGAATAATATTCATTGGGTCAACAAACTCGGCCCATATATGAAACTAGGGCCACGTCACGCTGTGTGGGTATATAAATGGGAGAAAGTGAGGCCAGCGTTGTTTTCGTCGTCTGGTGAGGAAAGAATAAGAAAAAAAGGGGAAGAATATGATATGAGAGAAGGGGAAAAGGAGAAAGAGGTTGAGGAAGTTATAGGACTTAGTTGCTCGGTGAGAAAACCTGATGATCTGGAGTCCTTCTCCTACCGATGCCACTAAGTCCCATGATTTCCTCTCCCTCCTTCTTTTCCCCACCTTTTCTCTAAATAAATAATTCTCACTGTTTTATGCGTTTTGGGGTGCTGGTAAAGTCGTCAGATCTCTCTTACCCTCTCCTTTTCAATTTCCTCTGTTTTTCCTTTATTTTCTGTTAATTAGTTATAAATATGTTGGATTCCATCATAAATGAAATGGATTAAGTTTGCATCATTTTCGTTTCACTTCCCTGAAATTGTTTCTCGTTTTATTTTATGTTATGCTGCAAACTGTATATCCAGCAATATTTTGACATGGAATTTCCGAGGCCATCGGAAATATGGAAAAAAAAAAAAGGGATCTAATCGGAAATATAGAAACAACGATCTTTCCATGTATTAGAAACTGGTCTAAAATAACGTCTGTTATTGGAAAACATTTTTAATTACCGAGCGGTGGTCGCCCTACAACCCCGAACTTGTAAGGGTGGTTTCAAAAAAGCGAACCGTATATCGAACCCAAATCGAAATAACAACAAAGTTTTATTTTGCAAGTGGGAAGTATGAATCTTAGGGCTGGTTTGGTATTGCTGTGCTTTAAAAAAAAGCGGCTGTGAAAAAAACGGCTTTGCTGTGAGAATAAGCGTATGTGAAATAAAGCAGCAGACTGTTTGGTAAATTTTTTTGTAAAAGTGCTTTTGAAAAAAAAGCAGTATGATAGTGTTTGGTAAACTTTTATGTAAAACAGCTGTGGCTGTGTGAAATGACCAAAAGGGTATAATACTATATGTGCTATTAATTTAATTTTCTTAACAAATAAAGATGAATTATTAAATATACTTTATTTTTAAAAGAAAAATATTTATAAACTTTATCTTAAATATTAATTAGTATGACAAACTATTTCAATTGAAATATTTTAGACTAAATAGCTAGAATTCATTAGTACAATATTGTTAATGTACTTGAAAGTAGTCTAATTAGATGCATTCATCAAACTTGCCGCTATTCTATTTCTTAATGCCTCTATCTCATTTGATCCTTCAACTTCATAATTTCGATATTCTTCATCATCATCATCACTACTATCGCTCTCTTCACAATAGTCTCTGGGGTCATCATAATGACAATCACGTTCAGAATACCTCCGTATGTAGTTATGAAGAGCCATTGTAGCAATGACAATCTTCACTTGCTTATTGAACGGCTAATTATGCATATCCCTTAAAATTGACCATTTTTTCTTCCATACCCCAAAAGTTCGTTCAATGATGCTCCTAAGAGAAGAATGTGTGTGGTTGAATACCTCTTTATGACCCGTTGGTTCGGCACCCCTACGAAAGTCTGGGAGATGATATCTTTCACCTTTATATGGTCCCAAATAACCTCTCATTTGTGGGTATCCCGCATCTACCAAGTAATATTTTCCTGACAAATTGAAAATTTTGTTTGTATTGTATTAATTATACAAAGCAAGTATGTAAAATGTTATAATATAAGTATGAAGATTACCATTTGGAGGCTTAGGAAAGGTTTAAATTTGGATTTCGTAGCGTAGCACGGATAGAAAAACCCTTGTATCATGTGCAGTGCCTTCCCATCCAGCACAAGCAAATGTGAATTGCATGTCAAAATTACATGCAGCCATAACATTTTGAGTCGGTATTCCTTTCCTACCAATGTATGGAACTTGATCCGGAGGTGGTATTGAAGCCTCAACATGTACTCCATCTATGGCACCAATACAATCCTAAAAATAATAACATTGAAAAAAACCGTCAACCTACACTTATAGTTTGCAAATAAGTTAGAAGACGAGTCAAAATTTACCTTAAAATAAGGCATGTATCTTGTATCTCTCCTTATTTCTTAGGGAATGCCACGAAACTCTGAATCCATCGATTTGATAATATCTATTGCCATCTTACATACGATATCCAACATAGCACCAAAATATCTACTAATAGTCTCACCAGAATGTTGAAATCTCTCTTGCGCTAATCTATTTTTCACACCATGTCCCAACATATGCAAGAACATTGCTAATATTTCAGTAGCACTCAAATCAGAATAATACATCACAACATATCAGAGATACACACACACACACATACATACAATAACACTTAATACAACAGATAATGAAGTAAAGCAGTAAACTTTCAGAAGCCCAAAGAAGTGTAATTGAACACACAAAATCCTGAAAAAAATAGTGGCACTGACCTCTCAGAGCAGAGGAACTTAGAGAGAAAATGGAGGTTGGGAATGCAATTAAAGAGTGAAATGTGATGAGGGTATATAAAGTGAGAGATGGGGGGTTTTGTTGGTGAGATAAAAACAAAAGAAAAAGCAAATAAACCGCATGTATTAATTGAAATATATTTAGCTAGGTATCCAGAATATTCCGCATGTATTATGGAAATGATAAGAAACTGGGCAACTTTAATAATAAAATGCACAATCAGGGCACAGCTACAGAGTTGCAGATTTGATAAATCATTTCCATGGGACATTAATTTGCACGTAAAAATGTGAGAACTTAGAAATACAATCTGCTTCTCACTGCTGAAGTTTGGTATTTTCAATTATGTTGGTTTTCAAGTATCAAAAGATGATGATGCTAGACAGCTACTAACCCAAAAACAAGCAGCATCCTATAATAATCATCAGCCCATAACACCTTAAAAACAAATCCGTAAATTCGAAGTAAGAAACCAAACAAACAATTAAACAAATAAACCAAGAAGCAAAAGCAAATAAACCACATACAAAAGCATTGATTTCAATTAATACTAGTAATCACAACAAAATCAAAAATTTATTTGCAAGTTTCCAAAATTAACAATCAAGTGTTTTCAATTATTCTTTCTCTTTCCAGGAAACAATTAAATATTAACGAAAACCATAAATACAATACAATAGGAACGAACAATACCTAGAGCAAGACAGAGAAGATGAAACCGTGGCGGTGGAGATTAATAGACGGGAGGAAGCACAGTCTGAAAATGCAACATGAGATGGAGGATTAAAAGCAGTGTACTGGCAAGCATCAACAAATAGAGAGGATTAAAAATGGATATGCAAAAATGCAGATCCAACAACAACACACAAATCTTCTCAACGGAACATCAATAGATAGAAAAGGCAGGGGAGAGTGGTTTTGCTGCTCAAAAGGTAGGGGAGAGTGCTTCATGGATCTCATGATAAACCTTAATTCAAACCCCAAAACTGAAATTTAATTCAAACCCCAAACTGAATTTAGAGAATTAATTCAAACCCCAAAACTGAAAAATTAGAACATTAGAACATTAACAAATGTAACCACCGCCCTATCAATTGAACCCAAAAACACAAAAACAAATGTTAACTAGGTAATCTCCTCTCTTTCATGATTTCCTTAAGTAACTAAATCAATTTTGCACAAGACATAGACAAAGTACGAGGAACCAATCAGAAAAACAGAACCAAACGAATCACACGAACTGATGATATATAGGAAAGAATTTTAACATTAAAAATGATGTTTTTTTATATACTAATTGGATACATGGGAAGAACAAAGATGCAAAATTTATAGCAATTTTACCTGGTCTTGGGAAAATTGAGAAGGTGGTCGACGCCGCAACATTTTCTTCACTAAAAGAGGGCAGTGAGGAGGAAGAGGTGCAGCGGCTGCATACGAGAGAGAGCTGAGGCGAGAAAATTTTAGGGTTTACGAGAGAGACCTGTCTTGGGGTAATTTTGGGTTATTCAAAAATTTCATTAACTTTTTTACTGTTCACCCGTGTTTTTTCTCTTCAAAGCCGCTTTGGGCTTTTGGAAGCTGCTATTTGCAGCTTCCCCATTTTGGCTTATTTTGATCTCAAACTTTGAAAAAAAAGCTGATTTTCAAAGTTTACCAAACACCTAATCCCTTTGGGCTTTTTTTCATAGGTGCTTTTTTTTAAAGCACCTCACTCCCAAACGGGAGCTTAGAAAGTCATTACTTTTGGTAATGTGTCACGCCTTCTCTTGCATCCAAATACTTTAGATCTTTTCTTAGAGTTTCTTCTAAAGTCTTTCTAGGTATTCCTCTATCCTTTCGGCTTTGAACTTCTGTTTCGTAATCGTATCTTCTAACCGGAGCGTCAGTAGGTCTTCGTTTCATATGTTCAAATCACCGTAACCGAGTTTCTCTCATCTTTTTTTTCAATTTCGGCTACTCCTACTTTACCTCGGATATCCTCATTCATAATCTTATCATTTCTCGTGTGCCCACACATTCAACGAAACTTTCTCATCTCTGCTACACCCATTTTATGTACATGTAGATGTTTCACCGCCCAACATTCCAGGCCATAAAGCATTGCCGACCTTATTGTCATCTTATAAAATTTTTCCTTGAGCTTCAGTGGCATACGACGGTCACACAACACGCCGAATGCACTATTTCACTTCAACTATCTGTTTTTTTGCAAGATAGATCTTAGGTAGCGAAAGCAGTCACTCTTTGGTACTTCCTAATCTCTAATCCTTATCCATAACTCATTTGAGCCTCCATTTGCACTGAACTTGCATTCCATATACTATTTTTTGACCGACTTATGCGAAGACCTTTAGATTCCGACACTTATCTCCAAATGTTAAGCTTCGCATTTATTATTTCATGAGTTTTATCTATCAACACTATATTGTCTGCGAAAAGCATAAACCAAATAATATCATCTTAAATATGTCTCGTTAACTCATCTATTACCAATGCAAAAAGATAAGGACTTAAAGATGAGCCTTGATGTAACCCTACAGTTATGGATAACCTTTCGGTTTGTCCTTCATGAGTTCTTACGGGAGTCCTTACTCCATCATACATATCCTTTGTAATTTGGATATATGCTACTCGTTTTCCTTTCTTCTCTAAAATCCTCCAAAGAATGTCTCTTGGGACCCTATCATAAGTTTTTTCCAAAATTACTTGGTTTGATTTCGATTTTAGTGGTTTGGAAATTGAACCAAATCAAACCGAACTTATATATATATATGTATGTGTGTGAAATTAATTACCACATTT